AATTTTACAGTACTTACCAGAATCTGCTTAGGCAACAATTGTCCACTGCGCGATTTTTTCATTTGATTGAAACAAGTCGGTTGATCCTTTGCTTCTCGTCACACAAAGTAACATGTTGACGATATTTTGCTGAGACCGATTTGGCCACAATTTAGTACAAATGTAAAGTGGAAAGACAAAACAAGAGTATTTATTAAATACAGCATTTCTCGAAGGCATTAAGTAGATTTAGAAATTTAAATACCATCGTTGCACCGGAATTTCGGTTTTCCTGAAAAAAAAACCTCTTCGCGTGTACATTTAACCACCCTTTCCAATTGTATTGCCGTTGCATTTTCATGCTAGCTCAACTGACAGGCTCGAAAACAGTTATGTAAAACGCTTTATTGTACCATGAATATATTCAGTTTTTTTTCCCTCTGCAAACTTTACCAACATTTCTCACGGACTTGGAGCGTACATCCGAATTTTCCCCGCAAATATAAAGAATATCGTAGCCTTGCCGGTAAGAGCAAAGCAAAGGAGCTCGGGTACTTTCAGGCGCGAGAGAAAAGATCGAGTACCGAAGTCATCGTCGCAAAAAGCCCCGAGGCTAGAAGCATATCGTAAGATCCCAAAGAGTCACGAGGATAGTGGGTAAAAAGTAGCCAGTAGGGCCCTACCTTCCAATCGTAGACTCGCGCGCGCAAGAAACGGATCCCGTGCAGGAAGGAGCTAGTAAGCAGAAGCGGGAGCGTTTGTTGGCAATTTTTCAACGAATCAGTGTGTCTCCGTGAGGGTGCGCGCTCGCAGTCCACCGTCTGACCGGAATGTACGTTTTGCCTCTGCAGTCTCCTCGATTTTCTCTTGCGAAAAAAGACCCACGAGGTCGCTTCTGCTGCTGCTGCTGCTGCTGCTGCTGCTACTGCTGGTGCTGGTACTGCCGCTGCAGCGCCAGGTTAACCAATCGCTTCACAGACCATTCCGCTACGACTGCTTTAAGGATTTTTTCGCAGCGGTTCTTTACTGCTCCTGCGATATTAGAAAATAGTGCTGTCGCTACGGTTCTTACGGATAATCGGCAAGTTGCCACTCGAGCGAAACATATGCACAAATCAGAATGTGATATTAATAAAAAGACAGAAATGTGATATTATTGAAAGATGTTTCAAGTCAGAAATCATCCGAACGTTCCTTATCGCTTCGCATTAGCTCGTATGCTTCTTGTTTGCTCGTAAGCCATGCGTTCAAAGTTGCAGCTGAAAGAAGAGAGAAAAAAGGCTACTACGACGAAAACAAAATGAGAAACGAGAGAGATGGCGCGATAAAACAGCGGAAACGGCTTAAACTGCAGCAACCGGGAGCGCGTTACAAATTTTCTAGTCGACAGAGCACAGTTGCGTGCAGCAGGTGGAAGACTAGATTGGATAAGCAACGAGAAAGAGAAAGAGCGACGCTCGAGCGAGCTTCGGCGCGGGCGGAAAAACGACGACGGCGAACAAGTAAAAGCGAGGGAAAGAAATAGACTGAGGCAAAACTGCGAGTCTTCGAATGGCTAATTGTCGCGAGTTTGATTGGCAATATCGCGAATGCAGCTTTCAACATTCGGTCCTTTTTCTGTGGATACGCCCAGCGGACATTTTTTCATCGCTTACCACGAAGAATCCTTGTAATTTTTATGAAATTTGTAGCTCTGCAAAAATATTCTCTCTTGGGGCATTATATATTTATATCTTACAGCAGCATTTACATGTTTCATAAATAACGACGAGGAACTTTCAGAATTTGATTAAACACTTATTGTAAAGTGGAACAAAGAATCTCGACTCTTTTCTCATGATTTAGCTCCATTCTTCCGCAGCTCCTTAAGCAAGTCAATACTTCTTGAGAATTCGAGTTCGAGCAATTAATTAAGATCCCGATTCTATTTCCGACACAGCTAAAGAGCTGTTAATAATTTTATTCGAAGCAATTATTAGGGTCGACGTCTATCGATCTATCGAGGAATTTAATAGAAATATTTCTACAACACAATTTATGCAGTTCATCTCTATAGATTGCAAATAAAAATCTTACGCTATTCAAACTCAACGGGCATTTCAAATAGCAACGTTCGGATTCCAATGCGAGTGCAGTATCGGAGCGTAATATTTTCATACCGTTGAATTTGAACTCACTGAGTAATTAATACTGAGCCAGTAAAATAATAACGAAAAATAACAGGAACAAGTAATACAATGAGACTGGAGAGAGACATCTATAAGCACAAAGAGTAGATCTGACGAAGGTATTCCTAGACGGGATGGGGTCTAGGCGAGCGTTTCAGAATCGTCGGTTCCAAGGTGTAGCTAAATCGAAAGAAAGGACAGCCCACCACAAAGCGCAACGCGCTTGGCTCTTCTGTTCTCTTACCACAGCGGAGTAATCGAAGGTAAACCCCAGGATTTAACCGACGGCTTAACCTATGCTAAGCGCGCTAAACCGTATTACCAAGACTCGACCGCACACTGCGCCATGCAGCCGACCAGCGTGCACTTGCACAACGCCTAACGTAGATTACAATCTAGTTTAATCGAGTTAGTCTCGTTAATAGGCGGAAACACATAGCTCCACTGCCAGACTTTTCTCCTCTTGCCCTTTTTAGCCGCGGCTGACCACCTCGCTTGAGATCCCCTCACGGCTCTTTTCTCGCGTTTTACCGGCAACGTACGCCCCGACTTTTTTCTCTCGCCGCGTTATTAGTTGAATGGGCTTTTGTCCTGAGTCGCCGGAATAAGGCTACGTTGTCTTTTGAGAGTTTGCATAGCATGAAATAAATGTTGATTATCATAGAGTGGCACCGCCTGGACTTGCTGACTCTGATAAAGACAAATCGCGCAAACGCGACTTGGCAAAGCGTCAAGCTATACTTATCCACCTAAATCTTTTTCGCGGTGGACGCGATATTTTTTGCCAACTGCTGCGAAAAACTGTCACAAGTGTGTGTATGTATGTTTTTACTGTTCTCTAAGAGTGGCAACTGCAGATGGTACGTGCGATAACGCGAGACTTAGGATTGTTTCCGCGGGAGAGAGAGAGAGAGAGAGAGAGAGAGAGAGAGGTGCGGAGGAAAAAAGATGCTTCGCGCAAGCTAAAAGTTGGTCAGCAATTTCGACATCAAACGTAACCGCGATCAAGATAGTATTACGTTGAAGGCAAGCCCTTGCGCTTCGATGCTTTACTTCAAAGTGTATCTTTCAAGGTTTTGCAGAATGAGCGTCGTAGCTGCTCAAAAGAGTTTGAGGAGGCTGCTAAGCCGCAAAAAGCTCAATGAACTTTTTTCAGCACGCTCGAAGATACGCTGCACTTGTACCAATCCCGAGTCTTGCCAGCCATAGTAATTTACCATTGAAACTCTCGACGCAGTTTTCTTTTTTTCACTGTAATTAAGCTGATTATACTTGTTTCGCGCGGAAAAAAAAACAAAGAAAAAGGCAGTTTTTAATTAACGCGTTGATGGTTATATGCGAATGAATCCGAATAAATAACAGGTTAAGCGCGCAGTTCTTGCTTTTCAACTTTAACAGCACGCTGAAAGAGGAAAGGGCTCTCGTCGAAATTCGATAAAAGCGCGCCTCGGCGCCCTTTTGATTTTACTCGACGTACTGTAAAACTGAGCATCTCTTACGGGAATTACAATACAATCGGATAAAATCAATCTCCGGACAGCAATTTTTTTCGGAACAAGCCAACTGACGCTGCTGCCGTCACCGTTGCTGCTGTTGGCGTCTGGCAGTAATGCGCGCGCTCCGATGCTTTTTTCACGGCAGTGCGCTTGCGCCTTTGTTGCCGTTGTTTTTCTTTTCTAGCTCGTAACCCAGATCTATAGACAAGCCAGGCTAGAGGGGAAAAAAAGGCGACACGAAAGGCATAGCAAGAGAGAAGGTGCACGAAATTCAAATGGTCTCGTTTCAAATAGATTCCGAATTGTCTTCGCGCATCGCCGAATAGATTTCATTGAATCGAAGGAAAAAGATAGAAAGTCAGACGACAGAGAAAGAGACGCGAGCGCTAACTCTGATAATGGAGGAAGCAGTCAGGAACGTAAAGGGGAGGACGAGCTAAAGGAGTGTAAAAAGCGAGGGAATGCCAAAGTAGAAAAAGCCCATGCGCTTATATGTCGATAAAGACGTCGGAGACGGGTGCAGTAGCAGCTGCCACTGCCGAAAAAATATCCAAAGGAAAAAGAGATTCGATTCTCTGAATGAGAATATTTCTGATGTGTGCCTTCCAGCGGTAATGTCGTATATTATACGGAAATGGAGATCTAACAAACTATTCTCTGGGATCTCGCATTTTTCCTCTGACCAAACTTATCGAGGTCGTGGTTACAGAAGCTACTCCCGCTTTATATTACATTTTTCCGCGAGAATCTTCGAACAACACACATTCCTATGAAAATATATTCGAAATATAATGTTTGGAAGAAACTGCATACCGATATAGGAAAAACTCAACGCAAACAAGATCTTGAGACATAAATATGTGTATGTTATTCGATTGAACGATCTGCTTCCTGAATTTTTTACCAGCCAATATGGATGGAATTCACCATTGAGCCATATATCCCGTATAGTAGCGCTATGATAGAATTCTCGTTTGATTTCACTCTTGGACATCGGCGGCTGACCCTAGCGTCGCTTTTCCACTTCGGTCGCTGCAACGAATAATTCAGGCGTGTGTGCGACACCGCGCCTCTTCGCCAGCGGCAAAAATTCTCTTCCATTAAAAACTTGCAATATCGTGCTAAGAACGCTGAACATCTATTTGCCAGTTGAATAATCGCTTTTGCTAGACTCCACTTTTCTGGCCTTCTTGCCGTCGCCAAACGAATCATTTCAAAAAAACTACAATATTTCCAACTTGTACTTTATTTCTGTGCTTTTAGCTTATCAACTGTATCAACTGGTCAAAAGAAATATCCAGTTCTATTATACAATTCATCAGCGAAATAGACGTTACATGTGGATTTTTAATTTCAGGGAGTAGTTCTGACACATAACACGTCCGCCAGGATCATTTGGTCAAATCAAAGTCTCGTACTTCAAAGCATCACGAGGAGCAGTGCAGGCTCGTACGTCTGTGCAGCGACCAATAGCATCAATGAAACTCGTAGCGAGTCACTCGACTTCCGTGTAAAATGTAAGTATATTATAATACGTAATAGAGTATACCCCCATGTAACTAGTAGCTTTTCCATGTATATGAGTAAATTGGATTCTATGATTTATATTGCATTTTAAATATAAAATACGAACTTTTCAAATAGTTGAAGCCTCACTTTAAAACATTTTTTGAAATCGATGTCATATTTTATTTCGCACCGTAAATTTTCTTTTTCAAAAATACATGTATGTTGTTCAATTTCGTCAAATGACATTTTCATGCATTTGCAAGTAATAGAAATATTACATTTTTGTAGGATTTGGTGTTCACTATGTATAATAGAAAATATCTTCCAATAAGATAAAAAATACGTTTTGAAGATTATTAATTTACATTGAAGATGAATTGATAAATTACAAAATAATTCAAAGAGCTCGTTTGCTTCCGAAGCAGTTGTTGTTTACGAGGTCAAGCATTTGCAGTTGCGGGCTTTTTTTCTCTCAGTTTCTACTCCTCTCTCTAGCTTTTGGTCCGTATTTGTGTGATATTTTAGAACTGATGCTGGTAACACCTCGACGTCGAGAATCTCGTTCCTTTTATAAATATTTTAGGCGTACTTTGCATTTTTTATATCCAATTTCTGCTTATGATATTTTCTCTTGCGTTGTCTTTCTCTTTTTTTCTCATTGAAGTAATACCCCCGGAAACGTGTACACGGAAAAAAAGAGAGGAAAAAGAGAAAAATACTATGAAGGATATCCCTCGTCGGGCTGCATGTTTCATTGTGACGCGATCGCGTCAAACGAGGCGAATCTCATTTCACGATCGACGAGCTCTCGCGAGCAGCCAAGAAAGGTGATTGCGTGCTCGAGCCGAATTTCATATGTAAACTTATGCGGCGACAAGTCGCGATTTACGTGAACCGAGATAAGGTGCCCCCGTCGCCATTTCAGAAACGACTGCGCTTCACCGCTCACACCCTCCTCTACCTGCTCACCAACTCTAAACAGTGGGACGCTTCGTCCGTCAAAAATAATGTGCTACTTTACTTGTATAATCCTACTTTGTTCATCGTGGCAAGCCGTGAGGAAAGCGGCTACCGGAATATACTCCCGAAAGTAGGTTCAGGTTAAGAATTTTGTACCTTCGAATTGTTCGATATGTTGAAAACATTAGTAAGCATATTAAATATAAATTATCGATGGAAAATAAAGACAATGTTGGTCTGCAATTTCTAAAAAACTACTTTAATCAAAAAGATATTAATAATCAATCTTGCTTCTTTGAGAAAACGCTGAACAGTAAGACAATAGTTAATCAAAAGCAATTTTTTTCAAGAATTCAACTCGAGCATGTTTGATAGTAGTATAGCCGCAAACTGCAGCGACAGGTGTAACGAGTGTAGCGAATAGGAGAATTTTTATTCTCCCTTGGTGGAGAGAGGGCGGAAAGAAGATACAAACAGAGCTCTACAATCGCGCGAAAGAGAAGGGTAACCCCTTGCATAACTTGAACGATTCCACGACGAGGACGTCGACGATGCTCATAAAAGTCGTCGAGCTGACAAAATGCGAAGGCGTGCTCGGAAAGCCAGCAACGACTCGCGTCGTTGGTCAAGCGCGAACAAGCCTCAGGTTTTATCTTATCGAGGTCGCACTAAAATAAACGTTGCCATAACTTTCGATGCCTCATGTTGCGCGTATATGTGTGTCTTTTTGATGCCAGCGTAAAAGCGGCAGCTAGATGAAAGGCGAAATGAGGCCAACGTCTGTAAATATCGCATGTGAATACGATACGCTTTTCCCAACTTTGATAAGCACGTTTCTTTGACTAAATTTTAACGTTTATCAAGTTTAATTTACTTCTTAACTGTGAAATAAATATATTCAATGTTTATTAATTCAAATATGATCTTAAAATGAAAACGTCACCTAAAAAAAGTATCAAATGACGGTCGATCTTTTATTTCCTCGGTACCTCTTATAAATACCAGTCAGAATAACAATCGCGGGCTATACTACTTTAATAAATACAATTACAAGAACACGCAGCGTAACTGCAAAATTCCAAATAAAATTAATTTTTTAGTGCACTATCAGAGAAGAAACAACGAACATAATTGTATATCTGATGATACGAGTATTATTATAGCTCTTAGTGTACTTATAACGTCTCTATGTACCCTGTGATTATCATTAACTGGCCGCGATTAACATCGACTCGTTGTTTCGCTTGCTATAGAGCGCACAATTTCATTAGCAGAGAACACAACTTAAGAACTTTATCCGCGTCTGTATCTTGTCGAAGAGACTCTGAAACTCTACGTAATTAGAGTTTTGAGCGTATGGCTCGGGCTTTGACTGATTATTGATCCGCTAGCACTCCAGTTTGAGCCTCAATCATTAGATCATCCAACTAATCAGTGTCTTTGTAAAGCATAGTTTGAGCTTAACTGGGATCAAGCATCTTGGTAACACAGGAACACTCCTCTCTAGATAATTTCAACATTGATGTGCTAATTGTTTCTTATTTCTTACACCTTTATGTTTTCATAAATAATTTAATTCTCCAGTAAAGACCATTTCTTAATTATTAATCAAAATAATAAATAAATAAATATCTTGTTTCAACGTTTCATTAGTTATCCAACTTCATCAAGAACTTCATTATACAATAATATTATATCTGTTGAAAGTACGTCATATATATTTATTCTTTTCATCTTTGGAATCTTGAGAGTTTGATCAAATGCATTTAAAATCCGTATATCATAGGTAATTTTTAATGAATGTACTCCGAATGAAGAAGTGTCACGAATACAGAGAAGAAAAACAAAGTCATCATTCGCATAACGCGGTCTGCAGAATAATGGACGAAAAATTCGAAGCATTATTCTCATTAACCAAGAGAAAGCGACGCCACTGAACGTCACTGCGCATTGTTCTTAATCTCGTTATGAAAACTATGTTTCGTTAGTAAACACGTATATACAAGTGATACAATTGAAAAAAAAACGAACCAGCACGGGTCAGTATATTCTGGAATAAACTTTACACTACTCGTAAAAGAGAAAAGCACATTTATATAAGAATTTTTTAATGCTAAACCATGTTTATTTGTTGCGTTAAAACTAAAATCTTGTATCAAGTAAACTAACATGTAATAGATAAACTCGAGAGTAGGCAACGATATTCTCCATCATAAGCAAAAAAAAATAAAATCACTTTTAACATAACTAAAAAACCGTGGAACTATTTTCTCTGGAGTTTTATGAAGGCATCGGGGGCTTTTAAAAATGCTTTTATTGCTGTGAGTAAACCTGGATAACGTGAATTGTATTCCGATTTGAGAGAAGTTTTATTTATGATATCCTCAGCGAAATACGTTTTTCCAACTGTCTATTCTTTTTTACCCACGCCACTATTTGTTCATTTTCATATCTTTTCAATCATTTTGTTTGTGGAAAAAAACTGAACCGAAATTTTACTGCTCGTGTTCCATTAAAACTGAAACTATTTGGAAAATATAAGGATTTACAAAAAGACGCAATAAGCAAATGCTCGACTTTAGTTGAAAAAAATGCATAAAAGGCTTTTCAGATCAAACTGATTGCTATTCCACCAATTGTATACAAAAAAATTCCATCGCAGCGCTCTCAAGCCATAACAAAAAAATGCAATCGTGCTGCCAAGAATACATATATCAATATTCGGGAGGAGAGGGCGCCAATCAAAAGCAATCGAATAAGCCGAATATCCGCGAACCGGGAAGCTCTGGAATATGAGTTTCCAGGGGTCGTGGTGGCGCCTTAATCCAAATGAACTCTGTGGTAGTTGGGTGTAGAGGGTGAATCGAAAAGTCATTATTTGGCTTGAAGATATATATGCATGTATATAGATATATATTTCATATACATATATAGGTTCGTTTGAATTGGTACTTGTTTCGTAGATGCGCCGGTCTGTAAGGAGGACAGGATCGTGATAGTTGGTGCATCACGAGGCGAATCCCTGGAGATCGCATGCCGAGTTGAAGCTGACCCGCCGGCACATAGTTTCCGCTGGAAATTCAACAACAGCGGCGAAACCTTGGAGGTACCAGCCAAGCGTTACAGTGTTGAGCCTGCTGACGGTCAGAGTATACTCACCTACATGCCCAGTGCTGAACTCGACTACGGCACCCTTTCTTGCTGGGCTGAAAATTCTGTTGGTACGCAGGCTAGGCCGTGCCTTTTTCAACTCGTCGCTGCCGGTAAGTTAATTTCTTTTTATTTAAATTAAAAATAAAATCATTTCAAATTTACCGATATAACAAAATACAACACAGTATTCCGGAAATTTTATTAAAGTCAACGGATATGTCAGTTGTTAATGACATAATGTATTGCCGTGCAAAAACAGCAATTTCCTGCGATTAATCAATAAAAGACGCGTGACCCAGATCGAAACTTCAACTGATAAGTATCTCATTGCTAAGTAAAAAAACCAACGGAAACAGAAATGGAAGTGGAGTCTCCCAATGGATTAGAGTCGACAGGACCTAATAATAGAACTCTTAATTGACATCTTCGTTAGCCATGATTATCAGAGGCGTTGAACATCAGTCAGTTTCCAGTCCTATGTACACACATGTACACATTCGCTCGTTAACTATACTCGTTCATGTGCTCGCTTGTTTTTGCTACTTTTCGGATTATCATAATTCAAAAGGGATTTGCTAAGCGCGTCTTCGCTAGCCCCCCTTCTCTCGAAGACGAGTAGACCAAAGCACCAGATAAGCGGATAAGTCCTTGAGAATAAATATAAACGGTGGCAAATTATTCTACGACAACTTTTTTCTCACTCTAATGTTTATGCCGTCTCTGTGTTGCCCTTACGTGAATTGTCTCCTTTTAACTCCCTTTTCTTGATCTTTGTCTCTTTTTTGCCGCTTCATAATTATAACCAAGCTTGATTCTTGTACGGTTTCGAGTAAATATAGAAAAGTCTTTAAAGATAATATAAATTTTATTTTTTAAATAATTTAATTATATAAGTCATCTAGTTGTTGATCTTTTAAAAATCTATCTTCTAGAGATTTTTTGAAATTTCTTAATCGTATGACTACAACATTACAACCTCAAATTACGAAAATTCGAAACCACAATAACGTCGTCAGACCAAGTGTGAAATGAAATGCATCTTCTTTGTTTTTTA